ATGGAGTGAAATGGTCTGAGCCGTGGTTTTATTGTAGGCTAGCTTAAACTACCCTGCGTTGCCTGGGTCTCTTGTACACACATATAATGCACCGTGTTTTCGGGATCGTGGCACGGTAAAAGTAAGTCGAAAATATGGAATGAAATTTGTTCGAGAAAATTAGATTTAAAAATTCGTCTACTTTTTTTTATTTGGAAGTGTTCGATCTCAGTCGTTTCAGAAACCGTGGTACAACCGGAAATAACGTGATTCCTCGTGTAAAATTAAATCGAAAGTATGGAATGAAAATTGTACAAGAAAATTGGTTTTAAAGATTCGTCCACATTTTTTATTTGTGAGTCTTCGATCTCAGTCCATTCGATTTGCACCATATTTCTGAGATCAAGTTGAAGAAAGCGAAGGGGATAGTGTAAATCTTGTAGCAATTCAAGCTACAGTTGACGAAACTCGAAGAGGTTTCAAAGAAGTTGAAGGTAACCTTGAGAAAATCTAACGTCGTCACCTTGATGATCCATCGAAACCAATGACAAAAGAACTGCTCATCTGTCCACTAACAACGAAAGCAATAGAGAAGGTCACGTTGTGCGTGACCACCCTGTATTATACACGATCCTTCGATCCTCCACAACGAAAGACGTCAGAGTTGCTTGTTTCGCGCCGTTCATCGTTTCTGGCTGAAAGATTCACGCTGGATAAAGGCTGGAAACGAACATCGATGTAAATGAATCTGGTTCAGCCTCGTCAGTTGTCTGCCGAGCGAGCATGCACGAGTATCCCGAGGATACATCAGCCACCATCCACGTCTCGATCGAGCTCGAAGGCTTCTATCTCGAGAGATGGGTACCTCTTCTTCGGGATTTCTAAACGGAGATTAAAAGAATATCACGTTTGAAAGACAGAGAGAAAGAAACACCAGGAGACAATCCTTGAAATATTCGCGTCTATTTCGACCTAGCCTTCCGTTCCCTACTCCGACTCGAACCTCCATTTTATTATTCCTCGAACCCTAACTACGTCGAAACAGGGGAAAGCTTTTTCTTGGGGAGCAAAATGAGATCTTCCGGCATTTCTATCCATCCAGAAACAGAGGAAATACGTAGAGCGTGGGGTAGAGTGACTAGGCTTAAGGAGCGATTTCTCGTGCAGGAATAAATTGGAAATATGGAAGAGAATTTATTTTCCCCCATTTTATCGTGGATTTTACAGAGCGGCCCATAAATCGTTTTACCATTTTAATTTGTGAAATTTTATAGAAAATATGTAGTAAAGAAAAGGTTGTTGAATGTTTGAACGACGAAACGACTTTCGAAATTTGACAGGAGAATTTTGAAACGTGTAATAAAATTTATAAATGGTAAAATGAGTTATGGACCCAGGTATATCTATAGACGACTTCTATGAAACTTCTGCTGGTCTTTCAGTGAAAATATTTTTCACTATCGGCACATACTTAAGGAATGACCTAATAGATCGTGCTTTATCGAGAATGTCCTCCACGTGAATCGGAAATTGGCGGAAGTCGGTGGCGCTTCTATTAATTAAATTTAAGATCCGCGTTCAATACCGAGAACGGCACGGTGCAGCTAATGAAAGACGGCTTATCCAATCTCGGTATTAACAATGTACACAGAGACTGGCTCAACCGAGATCCATGCTAATCCGTGACGAGCAGAAAGAGCGAGAGAGAGAGAGAGAGAGAGCAGCGTGGTTTTTGTTTAGATCGCGATAGCGCACCAGCCACTCTGGCAGTTGCGAGGCTTTTGTAATATTTGATATGCCTTTGGAAACAATTTCGTCCCCCTTTTTGTTCCACGGAATTAAAGCTTCAAATTATTTTCTTCATTTTAGAAACGTTTCCTGTATTATCTCGTGTAATGGTGATAATATTAAGACAGCGTTACTGCGTGATCGTAAAGAGAGAGGCAACTAAATGAAGTGATTGAAAGACAAGGGATTAGACTTAAAATATGCAAGAAAAAAGTCGCCTTAAATTTGGAAGTATCACAAAACAGAATTCAACGAAAAAAGTAATTAAAATATTCCATAGGAGAGCTGTACTTGATCAGATCTCTGTTTGGCTCTGGCAGTGGCATAACAGAAAAACTAAATTTTAAATACTGATCACATAATCTGATCTATTCTCTGATATAAAACTAATAAAGTCGCAAAAGTGCCATTTTACACGATAAAAGTACCGTATCTACAGACTCTACTTGCAAAAGCAACAAAAAATTGACCCCACTCTTATTGCCAAACAACGAGATCACAGTCTTCAGCTTGACACAATTCAAGTCTAAAAAAAGCAGACTCTATCCAAATAAAAGAATTCAATACAAATAACAATATCTCCTAAAAGAGAAAACTTCCAAAAGAACAGAGATCAGAGATCTTAACAAGCAACCAGAAAACACAATCGAACTCTTGATCGTTAGCTTGAAGAGCAACGAGAGGAGGGGCAAGAGAGAGTAGCGAGGTGTTGGTTGAAAGCATGCCAAAAATAAATAAGAAACCGAACGTGTAATCTCACCTAGGCCAGGTGTAGACACCAGAGACCTCGAAGCCATAGTGCCAGCTACCAGAGTATGCACCTTGGCCCTTGGGTCCTGTGCACACGCCGTGTCCATGAGCCTTTCCGTCCTCCCAACCGCCGCAGTAGGTGCCGCCATCGTCGAAATCGAATCTGCCTCCATTCACCTGGGCACGATTTGACGCCGCCGTGGCGGTACCTGTCGCTCCAGGTTGGGCCGTGCTTATGCCACCTGTTTGAGTGTATTGGGCACCACCAGCTACCCCGTTCGGTGCCCCGGACTGTTGGCCAGACTGTGGCTGCTGCTGCATCTCTTCTCACCGCCGCCACCACCACCACCACTACCACCACCTCCACCTCCTTAAAATTCTTCCCCCACCACCGACGTCGTAATCTTCGTCTTTTTTTTCTTCGTCTTCGTCTTCGTCGTCTTCGTCGTCGTTATTGTCGTTGTGCTGGCCCGTTAGCAAAAATCGCACGCGCGTCCCCCTGCTGTTGAACGTTGTCGCTCCGTCATCCTTCCGTTCGTCCGACTCCACGTTTCTTCCTGTCTCACGCGTGCCACCGACGGATCTCTGTAAGATCACACGAACAAATCCTCTGTTGATCACTAAAGCGTCCACCGGGATAGCGAAACGTGTGCACGTATACTCGAAACCTTTTCTTTTTTTCGCCTTTATTTGGGGGGGAGAGGGTGGAGGATTCGCGCTTTTAATCGCGAATCGCGCGTGCGTTTAATTTTCTATCTAGTTTCGCAAGGGAGCGAACGTATATGTATACAGAGGTCTACTTGTGTGCGAGTGTATATTTTCGTGCGATCATTCGACGAGAGAGAGACTCGCGAGTGGTGTCGGTAATAAATCGGGTAGATGAACGATTTGAAAAACGACCGATTAAGTGAGTTGATTTGATCGCGAAGGAGGATCGATTCTATAGGAGAGATCGGTCAGATTTTGGATGTCAAGGATACGAGTTTTTCTCTTCTTTGTGTACCATCTATAAATAACCGAAAATCAGCCCGAAGCGAGGCTAGACGAGTGAGAACGCTCTAGGATTCGACACGGGTTAATTTTAGTCGCCGGACAGCAACGGACCAGCAGAGAGAAACATCATCCCGAGTGCTTAGAAACGATCACAGCCGCGGACCAAGATCCCTCGACTCCCCTGCGAAACTCTTTTAGGGTTAGGTTCAGCGCGGCCTTGAAACCATTCGTACACGCCGTATCGATATACACGAACTCTACCAACTTGCTAATAGATCCTTTTCTTTTTTTTTTTTTCACTTCCTCCTTCTCATCGTCGTCCCCTGAACAATTCACCATACGAACGTTCACCCCAACTGAAGATCACTTAAGAGAGAGGGAGAACAAAAAGAAAAAAGAAGTTTCTCGAGCACTCGATCAGCTGATTCGTTTCTTTTTTTCTCGCGTCACACGACACAACAGCGAGAGAGAAAAACGGTTCCCCCCCCGTCACACCTATACTTAATTCGATCTAGATCGAGTGCAGCACCTGTGGCTGACCAGCACAGAGGGAACAGCACACTGAACGCACGACTCGAGCAGTTTCCGTCTGCGTGCGTTCGACGTCCACCACGATGATACCAGAAGAGGATACGTCGTCGAACGGTTTTTCGTCGAACTTGTCGAAACTCGACGGCCGTACAGCAGCCGCGGTTTCGCCGTCCGTCTGACGCCGTTACGCAACGCTTCTATAAGCATCCGTGATCCGCTCGGAATGTGGCCCTCTCTCTCTTGCTCTACAGTTCTCCCGCTCGATTTCTCTCTTTCTATCTTATTCCTCCTCCCTCTATCTGTCTCTGTTCCACTGGTTTGCTTGATTCTGGTGTGTCAGTTCGGTTGAACGAAGGCGCGAAACCTCGATAGATCGAAGGGAACAGAGTTGAAGAGAGAGAGAGAGAGAGAGAGGGGGAGAGAAAACACGTCTCTATTAGCTCCTCGTGCCTTTCCTTCCCTTTCCTCCCTTGATCGTCGGAATTCTCAAGAAGAGGATTCTTCTCGTTTGTGCCTGGGTCCTCCTACGTTGCGACACAGTGAATCAGCCAGCGCCTGGCTGCTCTTCTTCCTACATGCGGACTACTCCTGTGTCGGGTCTTAAAATATTCACTAGACTTCACGAGGTTCGCGAGCAACCGGGAATGTAGAGCGATTCCTCGCTTCGACCTGTTCCCCTTTCTCTCTTTCTTCGCGTTTTCACCCTTGGATCTCGCGGCTACCTCCAAACGTACAGAGAAGAAGAGAACGCACGGTTTCTCTGCGATATTCGTTCTAGCTCTCTTGCCTCGTCGATTCACGATTCTTAGCGAACACTGATAACATAATCGCCGTTCCCGTCTTCCTGTTAATCGTGATGCGAGCAGTTGTCATGATCGAAACGCAAGCACCCACAGCACAACCGGTGTGTTGGTCGCGACGTCGACGTAAACCGTTCTAGACACGATCCACCACGTACGTCCGCTCTAGCGATGCTAGAGCGGTGCCTCGGCTCGCGCTCAAAAAGCCTCTCGAGGCTAGCTGGCTAGGAGCTTCTATTTTTACCATGGGGTGGCGAATTGTTCCCCACGCCGCCAGCGGCTCGCGAGGCGGCAGCTCGAGCGGGCCGGAGGTTCGCCAATGCGACCGGGTTCAAACCGTTTTATAAATAGGAGGAGTGGTTCTCGCGCCGCCACGGAAAATCGGCGCACCATTTCACGGAATACGGATTTTCGATGATTCCTCTCTTTTAGACAACGGTGGACCAGGTTACCTGTTAGTGGACGGAAGAATAGGCGCTCGAGATTCTTGCTGATCCTTTCAGTTACGGAGTTGCCCCCATTTGCCCCTATCTACCTTTTCTTCTCCCTCTTTCGAAAATATGAGAAATTTTTTTCGATGGAAGGTCTTCTTTCTTTCCTTTTTTTTTTTTTTGGAATTTGGGGGAAATTGAAGTGAAATTATTTGATGTAGAATTATCGACTCAAAATCGTCGTAGTTTTTTAGAGAGGGAATTCGTCAGTGGATAATTGGAAAGGATATTGAAATTGTGTTTGATTTTGTTTTGTATATAAATATTGAAGTTTGTAAGAAAAGGTGCCGAATTAATTTCTACACTTGATATGTAGTATAAACGTCTTGTTTGCATTCGATCACTCATGGATCACTGTCTGAGGCGCAATCTGTGTTGGGATTTAGCTGGTTGATGCAGTAATTTGAATGGTTTGGAAGAAAGAATTTTTTACCACCTAACTGATATACTTTTAATCACTTCCGTATTGTGATATACATGTGTGTATTGTTCGTAAAATTATATAGCAACGAAGGAAACGGCGTACGACAGATGAGAATCATTTAGACATCTGAAAGTTGTCTTCATTTCTTTTAAAATGGTACTTTATAGATTTGATATAAAATTTGGAAAGAATACTGAATTCAGATATCATCAAGTTGGAGATGTCTAAATTAGGCGCATATGTTTTTACTGATTTAAATGGAAACTTTGTCAGTACTGTCCATGTTGTGAAAGACTTTTCTTCTTGAAGCAAGTTGCAAGTAAATGGAACATCCGTTGACAAACGCGGGATCCGGTAGAACAGCAGAAATTCATTCTACGAAAGATTAGATTAAGAAAAGACGCGTTCTCCTATTTTCTTCACCTACTTCACCTATAGAACCCTAAACGATCAATTTCCTTCCCTATTTTCCACATTCCAATCTAACCTTTAAAAGTCGCATAACTTCAAAGCTTTCTATCTGTAACACACGTCCAGGCTGTTTGGGTGGCTCGATTCATTCGAGGTGTTCGTGTTCCCGATTAACCAGACGTCTTGTAGAACACGTGTACCGAAGCGTGATGTAGATAAAAATTGATGGTATTTAGAAATAGAATCCGCGAGGCAGCGTAGCAGAGCCTCTGAATCGAGATTCCTAAGGTTACGTGCCAGAGGCGAATACATCCATCTTTTCAATTAACATAACTCTTTGATCGATGATACGCTGGGAAAAATTCAAGAGAGTCGATAACGGTGGCTATAAATGGCGTTAGGATATCGTGGGATGAGTGGCTTATCCAAATCCATGCGATTACTAATTCACATATGGGAGAAGTTACGTGTCTGGAATGCCTTACTGACTCAGTGGTCAATGAATGTGTAAGGAATAGAGTCAACAATCACATTTAGCTCACCTATTCACGGAACCAGAAACTTCGGAATAAAATTATAATTAGTTTATAAAACACTCGAAAGCTTCGTTGGGCGATTTTACCAAGAGATGTTCGTATTATTCACTATATACATATATCGACAATCGTATCTAGCACACTTGTAGGGGAAACCCGGATACATGGGTAAAACCGTGACCTACTATTATTTATAAAAAGGGTTTAAAATATTCCCGCGGCAATGCAGTCATCGATTGACGTCATTTTGATTAGTGCGTAAACGAAATATGATCGCGATACATACGTGCCTTCTAAAGTTATGATACTTTATGTGTTTGCGAGTGCTCTGATCTAATTTTCACCGAATTATAAACTGTACAATTGCTGATATTGTTTAAATAACTACTTTTCGATACGAATTATGCTGTTCATCGTGTAACGAGTATGTAAAAGGATTTTTTTTTTCAATTCGTCATGGTGGTATCAGTAATCTGTAATATTTAAAAAATTGCATACTGGGGCGAAACTGTTCGTGTTACAAACGCATTAACATTATGAAAACAGTATTTCTGATAGATACTACTCGACCGTGTTTTTTCATTCATAATGCATCGTAGAATTTTAATTTCACTTTATTTTTAGACTCCAACAAAATGCATTGCAATTACGAAAGAACCATAACACGGCAATCTTGGTGCATTCAGATAGAACGAAGGTTAGGTGTAGTGTAAAATTTGCTCTGGGTGGGCCCGTGAAAGCTGCACTGGTTGGGGATGTAAAGAATCGGATAAATTCGAATGTTACAGATGTTAAGGGCAATATTGGATACTGTATCCGGTTCTACCCACGCCTCGGGGTAAAACCGTAAATTCGCAGCTCTTCGTAAAATTGTTATTTTCAGGATTTTCTCCTTTTTGTAAAAATTTTGTTGTGCCATTTTATCGTGAAAGTCCCAGCTTTACCCTAGTCTCTCCTACACGAACCAAGAAATTCTAGAATAAAATTCGGGTTAGAAAACGTTGGAAAGTTTCCTCCCTCTATTTTTCACCAAAGGAAGACAAATATCGTGAACTACATGAGAAATCGAGGAACACATGCAATCCAAGTCGAGGCTAGTATTGCTTACTGCGAACGTTCAATCGTCTCGAAACGAGCCTTTAGAAGCGAGATTTCGATCGACCCGAGGGTGGAAAGCACAGCTATAGCCGGTGCATAGGGCTGCATTTTTGATGCTGCACATGCGATGTCGGTCAGTTACTTCGCTCTCTCGGCCGAGAAGTAGGCTTGCTTGAATTTATTAGAATACATCGCCGGTGTCAACGATCCTCGTGAAACGTGCCTCTTCCAAGGTAGAGGACCAGATAGTTTCTGTGATCGAAACCACGTAGACACTGTCCTCGTCGCTTTTTTATGTAACAGAAATCGATACTCTACTAGTTGGTACCCTAAGTTGGTACCCCATAAATCTACGGTCTTTTATTTTTGGAAAATACTGGGTTCGTACCCTCCAAATCTAGGGACTTTTATTTTTGGAAAATCCGGGGTTGGCACCCCTGACATTCGGGTACTTTAATTTTTGTATAGTTCTAAATTGTTATCCCTGCGATCTAGGGATCATTATTTTTTGGAAAATCGTGGGTCGATATCGCTGAAATTCAGGGACTTTTATTTTTGGGAAAACCTGAATTGGTATCTTTGATATCCAGGGACTTTAATTTTTGAGAAGGCCTTAATTGGTACCCCTGAAATCTAGGAACCATTATTTTTTGACAAATCCTGAACCGATTTCTTTGAAATTCAGGGACTTTTATTTCTGGATAATCCTAGGTTGGTAGTCCCAAGAAGATTCGGGGGAGGCCAAAGGGGGTCAGCGAAGGAAATAATCCGCAGAAGAAGTGTCCGAAAGAACAAGAAATACGACCGACAGCATCCAAGTAGCAAAGTCGAAGAGGAAGAAGAAGAAAACGAAGAAGAAGGAAAGAACGCGCGAGTGGAGAAGGGTATCGAGACTCGCGGCGCTCGAGACGATCTGACGAATCAAAATTGAGAAGTGTGACGGTGAACGAATTGACCGAGAAAACTGAAAGGATTCGATTCGTGAAACACAGAGGAAACATGCTTCGTAGAGGGGAATTACGAGACGGGGGAAGCCGGGTACAGCAAACAGACAACGTCTATCATGCGCTCGCGATAAAATAAACGGAAGAAAGCAATCTGGAACGGCGGCGAAATGAATAAAAGATTACCAGGCTAACGACAAGACGAGACGAAAGTGAGGGGAAGCGCTTATTCGCGCTTGTTAAAAAGGGTAGAAAAAAAGTAGGAAGAAGAGGAAGAAAAAGGAGGAGAGGCTGGAAGGTAAGGAAAAGAAGAATAGAGGAAGGAAATGAGAGGAAAACAAATAGTACAACGCGAGAATGCGTACAAATGAAAACAAACGAACAGGAGGCACACGGTGGATAAAGTATGATATCGTTTATGCGTATCTTTGCGTGCCCGGTTGAACGAAACAAAAGGAACGCCGTCTAAGAAGGGTCGGAAGGGAATCGTAGAAAGAAGAAGCAGGGCAAAATGAGAAAAAACAATTAGCTTTGTTTTTTTTTTATGTATATATATATATAACAGAAATACTCGTTCCGCGTCTATTGTTGCACGCAACCAGGAGAGAAATAATATGACGCGTTCACCGGTGGACGACGATGAAGCTTCTCATGTTCGCCGATGCGGCCGGGAGAAAAAGAAAAGAGGCTACAAAGCGCCTGTACACCCTCATTATTAAAATAACTCCTCTTCGAGGATCGTTCGCGCCTCGAGAGACGCTTGTTCGAGTGCCAGATTCAGATCGAGCCGTTTTTTTCCCCCCTGTTCTTTCTTTCGCGGAAAATCGGGGAATATTCGAAGGGATGACGTTTCTTTCTTGCTCACGCTTTCTTTTTTTCGGGCGGTTGGAAATGTTAGAGGCCAGACGTGCGACGCCCTCGTTCCACGCATGCCTCGTGCACCTGCGGACGCGTACGACCGCACACCGTGGCTGCGAATTGCATCGTCGTGGCGTAGCGGTGGACATTGACGGTGTCACCGGGACGTTGATTATGCCGTTCCGACTATATAGCATCACGATCACGCGGTACACACGCGGGGACAGCCGCAACGAGGTACCCGAGGAATCTCGTCCGATGATAGAATTCGAAAATCGAATACAATCGATATTCTTCTGTGCGACGAAAGACAAAGGTTTGGCAGGAACGTGTCGATGAGGAAAGCGAAACGCTGCTTACTTCTATCTTACAGGAAGTATTTGAAAATGTGCAGGTATATCGAACGAGTAATCGACTGAC